CAAGCCTCACTCACCTGCCTTCCCACTGTGCAATAGGTTGCCCTGTTCTCGTCTGTCCGTTTTCATACTCCTACTGTACCACCTTACAGATACTTCCAATGAGACTACAAGTGGCCGTAGTTGTAACCACCGGCATGGTCCTCGGTTGACATCAGAAAAAAATGCTCCCTAAGAAATGCCACGCAGACTCCACTCCACTTGCAAAAAATTCTGCATGCACAATCTTTCGTCCCTTGTGGTGCATTAGGCGGCGCATTCAAGCGAACTGACTGCCCCAATGCAAGTTAACGCACATGCTTTAATGCACCACGGTGGGATGGGCACCTGCGAATGGGCCCTAAAGCCTACTGATGCCTTCTAGCAGCTTGTTTAAAGTTACAGCCAAAGACTTCTCCCATTTGAAACTGTGTTTCACATCCTCAAACAGGAGATGAAAGTTTCAACAAACTTGCCAACAGCTTGCCGAAATCTGTGCAAATGCTCGCTGTACACACACGACTGTTATACAAGCTGAAGCCTGTGCATACAAGGCCTTTATGATACATTGTTTTGGCAAAATAAAACTAATGTAATTAGGTTTACATTTACTTTAGGGAGCGCACAGACATTTTCATTCCCTACCATTAATAAATACAACCTAACACCCAGGTTTTTGCTCCAAGTGTTTCACCACAATCACTACACAATGTTTGAAACTGCTTTACTATGACGCTCTTTGAAATGTAATACAGTAGTCCAATGTCACACTTGCAATCGATCTTACTGTATAGCAAACTTGGTACTATGGCTGTGCTGAAACTACAAATCCGGTCATGCCTCAGTCATGCCAGTGGCTCTTAGTGTCTTGCAAAGCCTCATGTATTTCTACAACAGCTAGTGTGCCAAGGTTGCCCACCCCTGCTGTATAGCATAGGAAGCGAGTACTCTCCTGCACCAGCAAAATTCCTGCTCATGTTTTGACTTTTTTTAAAGCGGACAACAGCATGGGGCTAAGCTCTAATGTAAAAACAATTAAGTCTCACAACAGGTCCTTTAAGGTGCCCATACACTGCTCGATTCTCGTACGAGAATCGCGGGAAATCCCGCGATCGTACGAGAATCGAGCAGTGTGAACGAAGACGTGCGACCGTTTCTACTGTACGGTCGCACGTCTTTTGTCTAAGGAGCACGCTAGAAAACCAGCCGAAAATCGTACGATTTTCGGCTGGTTTGAACGGTGCTCGGGAGACAAATGCCGAACGGGCCGGTGTGCGCGCGCGCACACTGCCCGTTCAGCATTGCGGTCATCGGAAGCCCGCCCCTCAGGGGGCGTGGCTTGCGATGATCGAGAGTACGATCTGCCTGTCCAAGATAGGCAGATCGTACGTTTTTTTTAATTACTTTACAACCATCGCAAGGCTAAGGTCTTGCGATTTGTGTAAAGTGTATGGCCACCTTTAACCCCTTCGTGACGGGAGACGTACACTGTACGTGACGAGTTATTTGCTGCTTTAGAGGGCTGTTAACCGATGAGAATCAGCTTTAATGGATGCCCTTACTACAGAGGCATTCATTAATGAAAGGGTTAACCTTTTTCAGACACCCGATACCTTAATATCGGGGTGTCTGAGAGTCAAAGCAGAGGGACACAGATGCCGGCTCGTTGTTGCAACAATCAGAAAACCTTTAGTAACAGCTGAATCCTGAACTGCTGCAGGATCAGGGTCACTAACTTATTATCGGCTGTCCTGATGTTTGAAGCAGCCTAATAATAACCAAAAATGTAATAATTTATCAAGCAGTAACAGTGAGATTAATTCACAATGACTGCTTGATATAATTAAATACATAAAATAACATTTTTAAGTTTAAAAAAAAGTGAAAAGTGTTAAAAAAAAAAAAAATTGTGAAAAGTGTAAAAAAAATAAAAATAAAATGTGTAAAAAATAAAATAAGGGACAAATAAATGAATGTATTTATTGCATTTTTTTTAGCTGTGCTGGTTTTCTAAAAAAATACTACAAATCAAAACTGGGAAAAAAGTGTTTTTTTTTAAAGTTTTTTTCCTCGTTTTTATATTTTATTTGTCCTAAGTGAGGCGTTAGACACACATATGTGATATAAATATGTAGCCCTATCTGTCCTCTAAAAAACAATATATAATATGTGCGGGTGCACTTTTGTAAGAAAGTATATTACTGACGTGGAAGAATCACACAGCAAAAATGTCAAAAGTGTGTCAGTCATTTACGAAACTAAAAACAAGCTCAGTCATGAAGGGGTTAAACAGCTGACTGTGTTATGGGGAGGCACACGTTCCCTCATACCCAACATGGATAATTATCCAGGCTCCGGCAGCAGATCAGCGTGATGGAGGACAGGGGTTAAGGTGAGTAAAGACTGCTTAGCAAATATCCTACAAGAAGAACCTGTTACTCCCCTAGTATGGATTGCGTGCACAAGGAGACTGGATCATATTATCCATTTGTTACCAACAAGCAACAAAGAGCCAACATGTCATGGAATCAGTTCAATGATAAAAGAGAAATATAAAACACCCTTTATTCATCGTCTGTGAAAGCCTCAGAAGAGCAAAAGTGACAGAACAACAGAATGCTAGCTAATGGCTTTTTAACAATAAGGTAAATTAATCTTTACGTCACCTAATTTGTGTTCCATCAGCTGCGTTTAGCTCGGTACATGTCTCAGGGGATGTTTTTTTGACATTTTGCTAATTAGACGCTATTAAAAGAACATTGAAAATTGATGCAGGGTTGACTGAGGAAAAGGTCTAACATTCATCCATATTGAATTTGAGAAGGTTACTTGTTAAAATCAGCACTGCAAGGTGTTAAAGGTTCTGACAGAATTTTTCAACTCCAGTCCTCAAACTTCCCCAAGAAGTCCTCGGGAGATCTTTTACATCAGTGGTGGTTAACTTGAGAGCCGGTGCACACCTAGGCGACACCTCGCTGCGCGGCAATCGTGCTCGATTCTACGCGGATTGCCGCTCGGTCAGCAGTCGCCTAGGTGTGCACCGATCGTGCTGTGGGTGCCATTATTTTCTAAAACAGCCGCGTGTCGTGTATCGCAAAAAAGAAAAAAAGGTACTTGTACCTTTTTTCAGCGATTGCCGCGCATATGTTAACCCATTGAAATCAATCGGGCTGCGCGTCAAACGCAGCCTGCATCGCGTAGGTCTGCACCAGGCCTCAAAATTAAAGAGGGCTTCAAATGAGGCCCCGATTTTTCCAGAAGGCTGAACAAAAGCTGTTGAGGTACATTAAATACGTTTAAACTGGCCATACCCTATTTGAATTCCAAGTCCTCTGGCTAATTCAAGCAGTGTGTGGACCCATTGACACCACCCAGTTTAACAAAAGTCACAGGAGCTGGGCCAAAAATTCTTGGCCTAACAGGGAATGCAGCCAATCAGCTGCAGCTGTGTCCAGGACCACAACGTTCAGCGTTATTTATGCTGTACGCATGTAAACAACTCTGTAGCATTAAAGGAGAACTATGAGGTGAGTGCTTTTCACTCACCTCATAGTTCTAGCCGATCTGTGACAATGAGACGGTCACAGGTTGGCTCAGTAGATGAGCGAACACATACCGCCGTTCGCTCCCCTCTCGATCCTGTCACGGCTCTCTGCCGTGACAGGGGAGGGGCTGGATTCCCCCCGCTCCGATCCTCCAGCGCTGACTGGCGGAACGGACGGGGGAGGGGGCGGGTACAGCTGGCTCTGCCTCTAGGTAGGCAGAGCCAGCTGTCAATCACGCAGCTGATGTCGGGATCCGTCCCGGCTGCGGCCGTCTCAGCATACCGCGAGCTGTAGCTCGCAATATACTGAGCTTTGGGTCACGGGAGGACGCTAGTTTGTGTCCTCCCGTGACCCTTAGGATAACTATGGGGAAAAGCACTGACCCCATAGTTCTCCTTTAAGCGGCAAGAATTGCCTGCGCCCAAGCAACCAAGGACATTAAGCGGCAAGAGTTGCCTGCGCCAAAAGAACGAAGGACATTAAGCAGCAAGAGCTGCCTATGCCCAAGCAACCAAGGGGCTTATTAATAGTATGCAATCAGCAGCACAAGCACCAACCAACCACTCATTAATAATTACATGTCTTCCCCCAGAGGTCTATAGGTCCCTTGTATGCTGTACCGATTGGCGCATATAAAACATAACACAAATGTTACATGTGTACAGCACACAGTCTACTATTCAGAATGTAAAATGCAGGATCTTGCTGGCAGAAGCATGGTAAGATCCTGCGGTATTAGCAAACGTTAGTCTGAATGAGCCCTAAAAACATAACTCGTTTAACATTTTAAATTAAAAAACAGGGATTTTTCTTTTGCATACACTTGCAAGTACATGTGAAGCCACACTGTCACAACAAGGCACCTCTAAGTGTGGTCACGGACATTGAACTGTCCCATCCTGGGACCTCCAAGGCATGCGTGCTCTAAATGTATTCAATGCTACACATGTTGGACGGTGAGAGCTTAGATAATTGGACACTCTGCAGAGGTGTCTTGGCACAGCAGTATGTCTGCACATGTATTTGCAAATGTATGCAACAAAAACCTCAAAAAGTAGAGCTGCAACAACTAATCGACTAAATCGATAACTGGCAACTATTCTCATCGTCGATTAGTTGGGGGGGGGGGATATATTTTTTTATACAACCAATCGATTAGTTGAAAAAATAATCGGGTAAATAATAGATGATAATGAAAATAATCGTTAGCTGCAGCCCTACTCAAAATGAACCTAAACATGACACCTTCTTTGGGCCCTTGTGGGAGGACTTGCAGACATACACTATTGCAAGGAAATCTCTCTACTGGATGCAAAAGCTATGAGAAGCCGACAAGTAATTTAACCCAAATACATACCACCACTTGATAATCAGAAATGCAAACTTTCATCAATGAAACATGAAATTAAAACATATCACACAACTTATGAACTGCTTCATAGAAAAAGCATGCATCTTTATAACATGTTAAAGACTCACCATTATAGGCACGCCGATGTCTGGCCATAAGAGGTCCTCTGATGGTAACTTGGGAGAATTCCAAACTACGACAACTTTATTTAAATAAGGGAGTCCATTTAACCTCTCTAGAGAGTTCATCAATACTTCCTCTCGCTCGTAGGTCAACATAACCACAGTGAACTGTTCCCTTGGTACATTTCCACCAAGAGCAGCCTGGAACTCTTTTCCAGATCCACCGGCCCCGCCACCTATTGGACGGAACCCAGTACCAGATCCCAGGAACTTTGCTTCAGAGGGCAAGACCGGGTCAAAAGGTGTATGTGGAAATAGGTGAAATGGGCCCGGGGCCGAATTCCAGTTACGGTAGATATCTGTTGCAGTCAAAGTGAAGTTGCGCAGGTATTTAGGAGAGGAGTACGGTGGTTCGGTTTCCACTGGTCCCAAATCCAAGTCTCCATTGTCTGCCATGTTTGGGTCTGTACCGGCAGCTTTTCCCGAACGATGAGGAATTTCCACCGCTGCCTCTTCCCTGATAGGAGCTGCTGGAATTTGGATACGAGTCCTTAGAGTTGCCAAGATGGTGTTAAAAACTGTATCGGACGTAGAAAAGTAGATCTCCCAAAGAAAACGTCCTTGCCGTCTCATGGCAAGCAGGTCGTTATCAGAAAGGCTTCTCAAGAGAAAATGTACCTCTGTGATACGTGGTTTTGGTATAATTAACACTGCCTCATTCCACCGTATCATGTCATGATAAGGTAATTGGATCTGCTCTCCAAGAATGACCGGGATAGCTCCAACCTCAAGAGCCTCAAAGAGTCGCATGGCACTGCCAGCGGATATGACAAGCTGGGAATCTCCTGGGGTAATTATAAGTGCAAATGTGGATTGCTTCAGTAGCTCTAACCGGTCTTCCCTTCCCCCACATAGGGCCCACTCAGTGGGCAGGCTTGCTTTGGGCTGGTTTTTACACGTAAACTCAACCATGACAAAGTCTAACTTACTGTCCTGGACAGCCTTAAGAGTGGTGATGATGCGGTCATCATAGTCAGCTGGTGCATTGCCTTCAATCTCCTCCTCAAATGAACGGGCCTCTTGCAGGCTTGAACGCAAGGATTCAATCTTCTCTCCTTGGAAACTAAAAAGGTACTTTCGTTTTACTGGCACCTGCGATGGGATCTCGAGAAAGTTGGGTTCGGACATTGCATGGACTAATGGCGTTGTGATGATGTCAAACCCCGGCCGATACTGTAAATCATAAAAGGTGGACTGAGCAATCATGGCACGCCCCGTGCTGACGTTATAAAGATAGTTTTGGGTCTCCGATTTCCTAGACAAGTTAATGATAAGGTGATTGTGGCCATCAGTCCTCCAATATGGCAAAGAGTGCAACTGTTGCTCTAGGTCAGTAGGTTTTGGCATTAAGGATTCCTGCATTTCTCCCAATAAAACCACATATATACAAGCAATATTTGCATTTTCAGTCACGTATACATTAGTTCTGACACTGGCCTCCAAGGCTTGTTTGATCAACGGATCTATCAAGTTGCCAAAAGGATACTGGTCACTGTTGTACACATAAACAGGAAAACCTGAAGTAAGGGGGCACCTCGAGTAATCGAAACAGTTATGTAGCCGGCAGTTCCTTTTGGACTTTGGCAAAGGTATGGTAACATCGTCTTTATCTGGCAACAGCCGGATTGGCAATGAAAGCTTTGGCTGATTTTGTGCCATCAGTTCTTTGTACGAATGTTCTGTCTGACTGATGACATTCTTGAGCTGAAGCAGGTCTTGCTTAGCGTTCTCTATACTCTTTTTGCATGCTTCTATTTTTAAGTTTAACTTAGCGATCTCGCTGTTGAGCTCCTGCCTCTTGGCTTCCAGCTGCAGGAGCTCTTCGCTGACGGACTCTCGGATCCGGCACAGATCCTGAACATGCTTAACTTCGCAGAGTTCATTGCCTGTCCGGGGGACAAAGGGTGGTTTGCCTCGGCTGTTGTCGTCATCGATGGTGGTGAGGTAATAGTGGGCTATGAGAGGGAAGAAAACCAGGATGATGAACAGCGTGAAGCTGAGCCAGGAAAGTCGAATTCGGCTGGACCACCGGAGCATCCAAGGTTGACCTCCGTTCCCAAAACCCCCATTTCGCAGCATGGTGTACCCACTCATGAGTTCCAGAGAAACTCTGGCTAATCACGTCGGATCAGTAGCCATGCCACCGTAATTTTTGACCACCAAGCCCGCAAAAATCACTCTCTTTGAGCCCCGGTTAGCCAATAAAACGGAAATTTCATTTTCTAGCACGTAAAATTTAAAACCAAAGCAAGACTTCTGTTAAAAACAAAAGTAAAAATCATGCAGGAGTTCCTTCAGCCAGACTTATCCACGATTTAATAAACATGATTCCTGGTGAGTTATGTGGGGTGGGTATAAGCCCGTCTGGACATGGGGGAACATTTCAGATGAGCTTGGCATGATGACGAACGAGATCGTTAAATAACTACGTGATCAACATCCATAATGGCGATCAAATGCGGCAAATCCGAACTTGACACCCAACATGCCCTAGAAGGAAAAAGAAGAAAGGGTTACATTATAATATCCAAGCAACAGTAATTCAAGGGCAACGACTGCCTACAAACAGACATTTCAGTTATAGTTGAGACAATTCTGATTGGTTAATGTGGGGAACTTAAGTCTCACCATAAAAAAATCTCCAAGGGAAGTAGGAAGCCGATATGTATGGAATTAAACTAGTCAGGATTTGTTTGGAGATGTTAGGCGATGACTTTCCTAAAGTGGACCAGGATCCAAAAAGTGAATTTCTAGAAATGTTAAGGCATTACTAAAGGCTTTTTTGGACAGAGTGCTAAGGGGTTAGGACCCCTGTAAGGTTTTGCTGTGTGTCCCCCTTAGGGAGATTCCAGCTCTCTAATGGTCCAATCGTCAACGCCGCCAAGAATTAAAGGAGAACTATGGGGTTAAGGCTTTTTCCCATAGTTCTCCTTAGGGTAACGGGAGGACACAAACTAGCGTCCTCCAGTCACCCTAGGCACAGTATACCGCGAGCTGTAGCTCGCTGTATACTGAGACGCTGCAGTATACCGCGAGCTGCTGCTCGCGGTTTACCGAGACGCCGCAGTATACCGCGAGCTGCTGCTCGCGGTTTACCGAGACGCCGCAGTATACCGCGAGCTGCTGCTCGCGATTTACTGAGACGCCGCAGCTGAAGCGGATGCCGACAATTGTGCCGGGATCCGCCCAGCTGCGTGACTGACAGCTGGCTCTGCCTATCTAGAGGCAGAGCCAGCTGTACCCGCCCCCTCCCCCGTCCGTTCAGCCTGTCAGCGCTGGCGAATCGGAGCACGGAGGGGGGAATCCAGCCCCTCCCGTCACGGCAGAGAGCCGTGACAGGATCGGGAGGGGGGGGAACGC